TTGTTATGCCTGAGCCTAGACCAAATAATGTTGTTGACCCACAACCTGTAAGGCGCACCAGCAACCGCGCAGTTAGACTGCCTGAACGACTCAGGAATGACTATGTTATGGAATGACTATCTTAAGCTGTTTACATTTATAAACATTAATATTGTTGTTGTGTTATTTGGAGTATTGCAGTTCTTGCAAGATGCTCGGTGTTATGAAGTGTGACCTTTACTGAACAATTGAAGCTAATTAGCTGTTGAACAATATGTAGCTTTAGTAAGAAAGGGAGATGTCATAATTATGTTAATTTATGATAAGTACGTGATCATGATTAAAGATAGTTGTTGAACATGGCAACATGTGTAGTGTATAATAGTGACCTTAAGCAATCGAGAACATTGCCGTCTGGGACGTTGTTTAATGACCGAGGTTTCCTGGTAAAAGCCATAGTTTTGTTTGCGTTTTCTCCAGATCTCAATACAATGCAAACCCACGTCCTGGACAAAACCTTGACTGCATCCTGATGGTATTACGTCACGCCTATTAGACGAAAATAATTTCCGGTCAACGTCCCGGACGGCAATGTTCTCGATGCTTAAGGTCGCTAATATGACAAGCAGTAACACGCTTGGATGGTTAAAATCTTTTCTGTCAGACAGAAAACAGTTTGTTTCTCTAAAGAAACAAAGTTTCTCTCTTTCTTTACAGACGTATTGTCATTTAAACCCGAAGGCAATCACCATTTAAGATCAGATGATTGTTCATTGCTGCAAATTCCCAAAACAAACTCAAAAACACTTGGAGATAGATCATTTAAGCATGCTGCTCCTCTAATTTGGCTCTCACACTTAACATTATGCGGTGTGAAACTGTTAACTGTTTTAAAACTCATTTAAAGACATTTCTATTTAGGAAGGTGTATAAATAGACCAATTTTTAAGAATTATTAGTGTATATATATATATATATTGTTCTAAATTTTTAGGATAACTCTACGATTGTCGACATGTACCCAGCTTTTTAGAATATAGTTTTAGTTATTGTTTGTTTGTTTGTTTGTTTTTTTTTTTTAGTTATTGAATATAGTTTTAGTTATTGTTTTTTTTTTTTTTATTGTTTTAGTTTTTTAATTAAATTCCTTTTTTTCCCTTAAATTCCTCAGGACCACATTAAATCAAATGTCTCAGTGATTAGCGATAGATCCACTGTGTTAACCTATATTTCAGTATTGCAGTAGCAGGTTACCCATAAAGGAGCAACTAGGTCTGTGGGTTAAACTGGTCATGTGACAAAGATTGTAAAATAAAATAAAATATTGTTGTAAATTTACCATTATACAGCGCTTTAGAATATTCCTTGATAGATCAAGCGCTATATTTAAATACTGAGATTATTATTAAAAAAGAAACTTGATGTAACCCAACCTTTCGACATTGGATGTTTATCAAAACCTCCGGTATGGCTAACTACAGCCTTGTTGAATACACAGACGAAAGTTCAGATGATGAACAACTTACGCCCGGGTATTGCTGTTGCTATGCATACATTGTTCCCTCCTAAAAAATTCTTTGCATCTAGTGCACATAACCACAAGATTGCTTTGTCCATTTATATGCCTATTCAATATGTATCATCAAATGTGACGCTCAATATCTCAGCCACCGAGACTTAGCGTAATTTGTCCAATTCAGAACCACTCGTCTGGTCAGCGGCTGCTATATCTTCAAAGGGTGCCATTGAAATTGCTGAAGCTGGCCCATCAACCTATGTCAACGAATCTGTGCCTGCAATACCACCAATGATCAATTCAGAACCACTCGTCTGGTCAGCGGCTGCGACATCTTCAAAATATGCCGTTGCTACCATCCTTGTTAACGATGATGTTGAAACACCTCAAACAGCGCCTAAAAAAGTCTGACGTTGTACAGACTAAGTAATGAAGAAATCCCGCTCCTCCACGAGATTACAGTCTGATGTCATTCGACGCTAATGCCGTACAGCTACCTACGAAATATGATCGGCAATTTTTCATTGGTTCGTTTGAAAATTATACTTGCATAAATTTGCTTAGCTAATTTTGAGACAAGTATACCGGTTTTACTGATTACATAAAGTTTCTGGATCCTATTGGGCAGACATTGCCACACAAAAGAGCATTTAATTTTTTGGGATGAATAAATTTGGTAGAATTTACAAATCTGGCATATTTTTTTGCGAGTTTATGTTTCGATTTCGTTGTATTGTTTTGCTTGACCTTGTTTACATAATATAAGTTATATTTAAAGTAATGCACCTGATTGGATAATAAAATTAGAAAGCCACTTAAGTGCTGAAGTGCACAATATTATATCTATACAACTACGTCACTGTACAGCATTAGTGACAAATGGTCGCAGACTGTTATCCTTCCACCATGGGGGGAAGGGACAGTCTGTGCGCAGACTATGAAGAAGTCGGTGTTTTCGTGAACGAACAGGTAAAATTGCTTCTAAACTTCTATACGGTAGATCTGAATGCTAAACGTAATGGTCCTCCATCAAGTCAACAAACTAAAGACAAATTAGTGGAAGACTTTATTGTTTTTTGGGGTTTTTTCAAGCAAATTATCTTTAGCTCTTTGTAACGACCAAACGTTAATTTCGGAATATGTAAATTGTTTGTCTAAAGTTAGGGAATTAATGCCAAACACGATCTGTGTGCACTTCACAACAATAATTAATGTTGTGAAGTATAACCATCGTGATGATTGGAGCATGTTAGCCAGTTGTAAGGCTCTTCTAAGCTGTAGGTCTTTTTCAGCGTTTGCTTGCACGGCGGCAAGCACACATAACTTGGAAGGCATATGCATGAAACCCTACTCACAGAAATTTTATTTTAATCACATTTTAGATACTATCAGGAACCTAAGATATTTTCTAGTACGGGCATTAAGAAGGCTAGGCATCTTCATGACTTTGTAATGCTATCAATGTATTTGAGGGTTAACACAGGCAGGTTGAAAGAAACACGCACATTGCAGGCTTTGTGGAGTCAGACGAAATGGGAACGCTATTTCAAGTCCTGTGTTGAACATTAATATCTCACTCTTGACATATCATGACCTCACTCTTGAGATATCATGTTCAACACTTGAAATATATCTGGTATTTCTGTGCACCCATGTATTATTATTCCTTATTTTATTGAATGGTAACCATGCAAATATACAAAGAATAAATTTTAGAATGCCAGTCAATTATCCATATGTGTCGGACCACATGGTTTGACCATTTTCATATGCTGAATGTAAGACAAAATACAAAAAATGTTGGAGAAACTGATGATACTGTACAAAATGATTGTTTAATGACTTTAATTATTAGACACAAATGCCTTTCTTCCTCTATTGAAAATCAAAAGCAGCAAAATAGGGGGGCTTTAGCCCCCCCTCCCCCCCAAAAAAGAGATGAAAAATATATGAAGACAATCACTATGACAATTAACTGACAATTAGCATGCACATTAATGGTTTTCAGAGTGGATTAGGCAGATATGCATGCTTGATGGTAGCAGTAGTAAAATCTAACCTTGCTACCAGCATATCAAATACAGTATACTGTAGGACATCAACAACCGGAATAGGACATCAACAATAGGAATCTTGGAGGAAATTAAACTTTACTATTTAAATCTTACCCAAAACATGATACTTTCATCTTTTATAGTCAATCTTCAAAAGGCTTTACAAGAACTTGGGCAGAGAAAGTGGTAAGCTGAGGTACTTTCGGGAAGTGCTCAACAGAAGAAACGTAACTGTTGATGTAAAACATTTTGAAGATTGTGAGCAACTTTTTATGAGTGTTGGCCATTGCTACCTCATTGAAGCTCTGCTTGAGTTCTTCAAGATGGATAAGACTGATGAATCACCAAAAGAAAATAATCCTTGTCCTTCCAAAGACTTAACAGATGATGAAAAGAAAGCCCGTATACTTGCAGTGTTGGACAAGTTCCTTGACGAATACATATTTCAAACTACAGCACAAAGTGACAACGAGGACATGTTAGCTGACGGTTCAGAAACAGATGTTGTTATATTTTTCATCTGTTTCTGGATATAATTCATATGCTAATTAGTACCATTCAGAATGCAGTACTGTTATCCCCTGCTGAAGCACACCAGCATAAATGGGCTGCACTGGCAAATTGGAAAGGAGGCAGAAACAAAAACATAGAGATAGTTCTTCTGCAAGAAAACAGAAATAGAGACATTTCAGGACTTATCCACTTAATGGGATCAAACAAGACTGAGCAAGCAATCGAAAGAGCTAGCAGAGCAGCAGGAGATGTGCGCAAGATTGTGGATGTGTTTGAAGACCAGGCATCAATTAAAACAAAGTTGTCTACCCACTCACACAAGTCCTCTACCGAAGACGAGAACAAGACTCTCACTGATTTGCGAAAGGTGAAGCCCTTTTCACAAACACCTGGAAGATCCCACAAATCATTTGTGGGAATTTCATCTGACCCACTCGAGAATTTGGATGAGAAAAAGTTCTGTGAATGGCTGCAAAGACATCAGAAAAACATTCAGTACATTTTCCTACACAATCACTGAATGATTCAGGTAGTGACGATTAAGTTAATGACGATTAAATAGAAGATTGTAACAGGGTATTTGCTAGCTAATATTGATCTAGTTTTTTTTTATTAACCCATTAATGTCCAAGCCTCTTCCCTTCAGGAGCAAAATTATCTGGTGGTATACAGGACTAGTAAAAGTAAAACAACTAAAAAATTAACCAATACAACTAAAATCACTGAAATTAACCAATAGTAAAATTATCTGCTTTTAACCACAGAGTCACTGACCAGGCTAGACACATGGGTTCACATTGCATTTTAATGGGCTAATTAAACAGACAAGAGAGCTTGAGCTCATTCATGCATATTACACAATTGACCATTATTTGTCTAGTGTTTACTACCTGCATTCTAGCAAACAGTATTAACCCATTAAGCACCAGCAATATCCCCTTGACAAGTCCTCTTGATGAGTAAAATTGTCTGGTGTGAGTCCATTGTGATTTGAAACGTAAAGTGGTTTCAAAATCTTTTCTTATAGAAATTGTTTGTAAATAGACTTGTACTTTGATGACTCATATTGATAACAATGTTGTATTATGTATAGAGTCATAGACAGTATAGTGAAATGTATATATTTGTGCAAACTAGTCTTGAAAAAGATATGTGGAAATTTTAATCAGTGCAATATTAAAACATAGAACATAACAAACAGCAATTGTGCTTTATACATATAACTTTTTAGTGTTTTTCTTAAGCCTGGTTCACATATTCCTGCAGTGTGTCAGCAAGCTATTGTTGTTAGCAAGTTCAATGAAATAATTCACAAAAGAATGTATGCATCAAAAGCTGTAAAGAATGATAGCACAGGCATATGTGAACTGGGCTTTAGTGTTCCCAGACAGTGTACTATTCAGTGCAAGAGCAGCAGTCGCACTCTAACTTTCCAACACCACAGCAAAGGTGTTTGGGAGAAACAAGTTTGAAATATTTTATGTCGGTGTCTAGTAAAGACAACAAAATAAGACATTCACCCTTACTTTTGCAAAAATGTCTGACAGCTTCTTGCATCCCAGGTTTGTTTTTTGCTATGTCCCGATTGTTATAGTACAGCACAGCAGTCGCAGGTTGTCCATCCCTCCCAGCTCTACCGGTTTCCTGGAAGTATGCTTGGATAGTATATGGTGGGGTGATATGCACAATACAGTGTATACCTCGA